TGAAGGCCTCTTTGTCCTCCCTTTAACATCATACTGTGGATTCCTTAGGGTTACAACAAAATTCTCCACTGTTATTATCCATCTGTCGGAAGACCCACAAAATCGCGTCTTTGGTAATTTTAATTGAAAACCAAGGAATCGTTCACAAAATCATTTGCATTCCATGTATTTTCTTTCCTCTTAGAAACAAAGACCATTGGAGTTGTCAACCTGGCACGTTTATATTTTCTGTCCTTTTTCATACAACGCCATGACCTGCAAATGGCCATGAATTGTACGCAATCTGATGCAACACACACCTGTCGTAAATCAAAGACAAAACATCTGTTGGCAAGTTCACCCAATCTGACAAGAAAAAAAAGAAAAAACATCAGAGATCAGTTGCCGATGATAATAAAAGTTATAGTTTTTTTGTGGAATGGTATAACAACATAAAAAAGCACATACCTGATTGCATGATGCCAAAACTAGAAGAGGTGTATTTTTACAGAAGAATTTAAAAGATTGATGTTTTCTGGGTTGAGACTTGAGATAGAGAAGATTGAATAGATGTGCCTTAGAAAATAGGCTAAACCCTTTTATTTATAGGTGTACCGTGTACTCAATATATTTGTGAATCCAGGAGCTCTTGCAGAGAAAACGCATGCATGTGTTAAATCTTTGATTTTTCCATGAAAATAAACCCAATAGAACTAAATAGTAGCCATGAGAGATTTTTACCTTCGGGATTTAATTTTAGTCCCAAACCTCTCGTCAGCCATGGCAACACTTATGCATTTGTTGCCAAATTGGAAGATTATAATATGCAAAACCCCAACAAAATAATTATAAAAAAAAAAAAAAAAAAAAAAAAAAACCCATTTTAATTCAGAAAATCACAATATAAATCATATTCATTTTGATTCAAAAATTACTTGTGAGAGATCGAAAAACCCGGATTTGAATCTCCCAATTCAGAGGGGTTTCGATTTGAAAGGGGGGGGAGGGAAAATCATGGTTTGGAAGAAGGAATCCATGAGGAGGACATGAGAAGATTGGAGAGAGTGATTTGGAGGAAGAGAGAGAGAGAGATTGAGGAAGCAAAGGCAGAGACTCAGGGAGGGAGGAAGCAGCGGAGGGGATAGAGAGTTTGAGAAAATGTGAAAAACTGAAATGGGAGTGTAAGTGACGATTTGGGTTTGTAACTTAAGAAATTTTATGAAGTGTTAAATATTAGAAACCTATAAATATATTACCGGTACAATCATAACAACACAAAGATTATAGTCAAGTTGGCGTCAAGCAACTACCCAACCTGGAGGTCAAGGGTTCAAATAGCCAACATGTTATTGATTATTTGCATATGATTATTTTTTCGGTTCTGTACCTTAAAAATTGAAACCGAGCTGACCAGATTTGATTCGGTTCGGTTTTGGCAGTTTTAGTTTCATTTTTTTCGGGTTCGGTTAGGTGCGGTTTTCGATTTTTTTCAGTTTTCAGTTTTTTGAACCTAGCCCTAACCAAAATTCCCAAATAAAGTCAAGATTCTCACACCCAGTTTGTTGGTGTGTAACCTCTTCAGCCGAAACCTGGAGCCAAAGAAACAATTCAAATGTTTATTTTAATGGTTGTTTTCGGTTTAAATGTAGAAAACCTCCATTGAAATACACAGTGAACACACAAACACTAACACAATTGGGCACCAGCCTTAGAGATTCTCACACCGACGGCTGATGGTGTGACTGACTGAAGCTGCAGTTTTGAGAGAGAGATTTGTGCCGGGCACCAGCGTGATTACAAGGGTGGCTGCTGCTGCTGCGGAGGTAGTGTGGATAGCAAGTATGCTAGTTGGATTGCCATTATCCAAATGTGTTGAATGTTACCTTAGTGGAATACTCATCAATTTCGCCTTCTTCAAGTGTGATATAACTAAATATGAGAAATTTGTGCCCAGTTTCAATGCTCCTCCCGTCCACGAAAATTTAACCAGAAATATTTGTAGTCCATTTGCTAGCTAGGGTTGCAAACTTCATTCGACAATATAAAGATATTAATGTGAAATTTTGAATGGTGTACCGGTGTTTGCCTTTTGTAGATGTACTTATAATAATAAATTAGAACAACCAAAGGATGATTTACTTGAACTTATATGATGTTAGAGGTGAATGTATTGCTAGTAGTTTCATTTGCTTTCAGAGTAAACTATCAATTCCCCCCTGAAATTTTACTTAACTTTCAATTTCTTCTCTAAACTTTTCAATTGGAAAATAAAGCACTCAAACTAATTTTTTTTGGCTGATTTTCCCCTGATGTTAGTTTTTATTCATTTCATCTGAATTTTTGCTCATTGGAAGCCTGTCCACAACATGTAACGATAGTTCAATCACTTCATTTTTTAAAATAATTGGAAACCCTAGATTTCTACAATGTCAACCTGTGCAAATATGTGTGATTCTATAGTTTTGTGTCTGAAAGTCTAGTGAAGTGATGCTTTTATCCACAAATAAGTGTCACGTGGTGTGCTTGTGATAAGAGTTAACATTTTTGGATGGAATCTATGGAAAACTAACGATTGGGGGAAATCGGCCAAAAAAATTAGTTTAAGTCCATAATTTTACAATTAAAAAGTTTAGGAGAAAAATCGAAAGCTAAGTGAAAGTTCATGGGGGAAATTGGCAGTTTACTCTTTGCCTTAATAATAGGTGAATTAGGTTCCGTTAAGGGCTTGAGTGATATTGCAAAAAATAAAGCTATGGGTGAGTTATGATTGATTGTCCTTGTAAACAAATAAAAATCTCATGTTGCGAGAATAATTTTTCAAACCGTGATGCCACATGTTCCGAACATACATCAAATTAATTTTTTGAGTGACAAGTCAAAAGATATGATAAATTCTTTCTGCATGTTACATGTAAAAAACTGATAGGGTCTTAACAGGTGAGTCATTGTAAGTCTTTGACATTAACATTATACCTCCCAAAATCCTTAAAATGAATACCAAGCACCTATCGCGTCGTTATCATTTTTTCGACCCATATATGGAATGCATTGACGCCACAACACATATTGAGTCGTCATCACCAAGAAATAGAGCAATTCACTATCACACCACATGCATAACCATAACAATGCAAATCTGTCGAGTTTAAGATCGGATCTGCTGATATCGCAGCGTTGATGACAATTGGTCATAATGTGTAGCCCAACAACCAGTTTTAGTCTTCAGTGAAGGAGCCTTTCTTCTAATTTGAACCCAAATTAATAAATTTAGGCTTATTATATTAACACCCTATAAATTATAAAATAAATCTCACATACTTAATACATCTCACATTTACTTTTTCACTTAAAAATATCTTAATACACCCCACGTATTTTCCCATAATACCCGCACACCCCACATTCTCAATATACACCTTATATTTTGTACATACACCTCACATTTTCTATACATTCTACATTTCTCAAATCTTATAACACTCATTTTTAATTTTCAAGAACTGAATCTAACCATTTGAACATTTAGTTTGCCGAAAGATTTCAAATCATCTGAACGTTTAGTTTGCCAAATGATTTCAAAATGATGATTTGAAATCATCTTAGTATAGTTTGCGTCGACATATGTCTACCTTCGTTAAGTAGGGTAACATCAGCAATGGCTTCATTGGGTATTATTGATTGATTTGTCATTGTTCTCTTATATTGAGCTGCTTAGAGGTCAAAAAGCAGATAAAGTTGAGGTCACTATACAACCTGAAGAATTGGATGATATGGAGACTGTTTTGCCTGCAAAGTAAGTCCGAGACATGAAAAAATTGTACGTTACTTTAACAATGTACCTTATCAGCAGTAGATAGCTTATAACTAGTGTGTCGCATTTAACAAGTACGAAGAAGCAAGGGAGGAGGAGAAGCTGCGAAGTCAGAAGGAAGATTTCAGTGACATGGTCGCAGAGAACGAGAAGAAGAGGAAACGTAAGCAAGACAAGGAAGGGAAAAACAAGAAGAGGGGACTTCAAGTTTTAGGCTCTATCTGTATTGTTATTACCAATTTATTGCTGGATGGGAAGCCACCCACCCTCCTGACGTTGGGATTTTGGTGCTGGTGTTTTTCCGAGAAATATGATATTTTTGCTCTGCTTGTACAGCTTTGATACACACTTAGTGATCTATGTCGTAATACAAATACTCACTTTTTGTCATGTTAATTTGTAACCCTTCAGAGTAAATCAATTCCAAAATAAATCTAGGAAGGACTCATAAAAAGTTCCTCACAAAACTTATTTTACCGAAAAACATTTTAGACAACTTTTTTTCAATATACATGAAAAATATGAAGTCTTACCTCATGTGAAACTTCTAAAACATAGATTTTGTGTTCCATTCGTCAAAAACAATTTTTCTCAATCAACATGTTTGTAGTTTTGTTCAACAATGGAGGTTGGGATGATGTTGATAGTTAAGAAGATAAATAATACGCTAAAAGTGATTTAGGGTGTAGTTAGAAATTTTTATTTTTATTGTAAACCTAGCTAGTAAGGTCAAAATTGTCATTGCATAGTGGGGTAAATAAGTCATTTAATATTAAATTTTAATATGGGGTGCATTCAACATTTTTTAGGGTGCTAATATAAAAAGCCTAAATTTATTAGGGTTACTAAAGAATTTTCATCTATTGTTAATAACCATCCTCTTGACAATCCACAAAATCGGTTTTTTAGAAAGTCATAAATGCATGGACTTTATTCCGTGTATCCTTTTTATTGTCTGAAACCAAGAGCAATGGAGTCGTCAACTTAGCACGTTTACATTTTCCGTTCTTTATCAGACAACGCCATGACATGCAAATGACCATAAATCATCTACAAACTGTCAAAATTATTCATATAAAAAAGTTCAATCGCAAAGTCGCCCAATCTGATAAGACAAAGGGGGTAAACTCAGAGAAGAAAAACAAGACCCCTTATTCCTTAAGTCACAGTAACTTAACTTTAAAATAATTCTAAGGGACATAATAAATTGTTACATGTAAACGGTTGGTTGAAACATAAATGGAGGGTACCTCGTCCTCTTCACTGGGTTCCTCAAACGAGCATATTTTGTAACGCTTTGACTTTTGATATTATACACCCCAAAATCGTCAAACGTATGCCGACATTGTATACCATCATTGTCATTGACAAAGTATACACAATTTGACTGACATCCTGAATGCATTAAAGCAACCACAGATCCTGAATCGTTATCACCCACAAACAAAGCAATATCACCTAAATCATTTTTCTCAATCCACTCGTCATTAGAATTCAATTCAAAAATTCTAAACTTCCTCGACTCGCGAGTAAACCATTGATACTCACTAAATCTGTAAATCATCAATAGTCCTTTCTTCTTTGAACCGACAAGATACATCTTCTGAGGTCGTTCTGCTATTCCAGTAGCAACCAATTGTACATCTATGGTGGATTTGGACGTAGATTCAAAAGCCCAAAGTCTGCTCCGACTATCGACGGCGTAAATCTTATCTTCAATTAGAACAACATCTTTAATCCATGGATAGATTTCATCACCATGCTTATCAATATAAGTCCACCTTGTGTCTTTACCAAGCTGAATAAAAGCCAATTGACTAAGAGGCTCATACAGAACCATAACAATGCAATCTTTGGAGTTTGAGATCGGGTCTGCCGACATCGTAGCCTTGACAACAAAATAGTCAGAATGAGCTTTAGCATAACCTCGTATTTTGTAATTAATTTGAGGTTTTAGTGGAGGAAGACGAATGATTGAAGGCCTCCTTGTCCTCCCTTTAACATCATATTGTGGATTCCTTAGGGTTACAACAAAGTTCTCCACTGTTATTATCCATCCGTTGGAAGACCCACAAAATCGCGTCTTTGGTAATTTTAATTGAAAACCAAGGACTTGATTGTTCACGAAATCATATGCATTCCATGTATTTTCTTTCCTCTCAGAAACGAAGACCATTGGAGTTGTCAACCTAGCACGTTTATATTTTCTGTCTTTTTTCATACAACGCCATGACCTGCAAACGGCCATGAATTGTACGCAATCTGATGCAGCAGACAACCTATCGTAAATCAAAGATAAAACATCTGTTGGCAAGTTCGCCCAATCTGACAAGCAAAAAAGAAAAAACATCAAAGATCAGTTGACGATGATAAAAAAAAGTTACAGTTTTTTGGTGGAATGGTATAATAAGAAACTAGGAAAAGATTGAGCGTTTTAGCCTTTGTAAAAAAAAGTAAGAACAACATAAAATAGCATATGCCTGATTGCATGATGTCAAAAGTAGAAGAGGTGTATTTTTTAACAGAAGAATTGAAAAGATTAATGTTTTCTGGTTTTCTGGGTTGAGACTTGAGATAGAGAAGATATCGATGCTTTATCAGAAGACCAATTGAAGGTTGAATAGATGTGCCTTAGAAAATAGGCTATACCCTTTTATTTATGGGTGCACCCTATACTCAATTACTTGTTCCTATTTCCTAAAGGAAATAAGGAAATAGGAATGTATGTTCCAACTTCCAAGAAGAATGAGGAAACTAATTAGGTGCACAGTACGGGTAGACAGGCTTAGTGGCTTTCCTAAATGACGAGAAATTTTGGAAAACATGATGGGATTTACTTTAGGAACTACCATAATAGTTAACTGCAATTTACTTTTGGATTTGATTCTTCACTGATGGGATGTTGTGGGGGCGTGATTTGGGAGGGAGTTGGGTGCAGAGAGAGGGTGAGGGCAGCTGCACGATTGCGGGGACAGAAAGATAGTTGATTGGGTCCACCATGAGCGGAGCTCCCTTGAAGTTCAAAAGCCCGATCCGAGATGCAATTTCCATGATCCGGTTCGCCCTGAAATCCGACAACGTCCTCATCTCCTCTCGTGACCTGTAAGTGTTACTCCACTTTGGTTCTCGGTAATTTGGAGTTTGTAGCATTTTTGGCTTTTCAATCGTAAAAATTGATTCTTTAAATTCTTTTTGCAGATCTTAAGATTGTACGACCCAGAAGCGACGCTCAGACCAAATGGATCCATGGATGGATGAAACTCCGAAGAAGACTCATGTCAGATTTGAGTTGTCTTGCATATTTGTGTGTGATTTTGATTTCTTTGATTTCTGGGTAGCCTAATTTATGTGCTTATTTATTTCTTTATGCAGCTTTGAAATCTTGGGTGAGTTTTTCAATGACTTGCACACCTCGATTCGGTTGTTGCGGTTGAGGGGATTGAACCCCAGTTTCAGCAACATTTACTCCCAAATCGAGTGTTTAACGGATAGGTATTTTCTTTTGCTTGGTTGTTGAGAAATGAAAGGCTGTTATGTAAATTGATCGTTTTTATCTTGATTTTTTTGTATTAATTGGACGACAGTGATCCTGACATGGCAGATCCTCCTCTTGATGTTGCCTGTTCCTCGGTTTGAATTGATTGAATAGCGAATGACTGAAAAATACTGTCCCATCACTGCAGAAAATGAGCTGTTCATTGTGAGCATAGTTCATGGAGGTAATCTCGCTGTCGAACATTTTATGAATGACTCTCCCAGTGCTAAAATGTCGAACATTTTATGAATGACTCTCCCAGTGCTAAAATTGAAAACCTGAAATATAGACGTAGAAGTTCCACCAATCAAATACAATCACTTAAATTGATAATATCCTTGCAACCCTATAACGTTATTGGAATAAAAATAAAAAATTAACTCCCTCATGCTTCAGGAAAAGGATAAGGAAAAATCAAAGTAGCAATAAAAACTTTATTGTGTGGGGATGTCTACTGAGATGTTCCATTGTCATTGCAATGCAATGCATGCGATAAATGGCGTTTTGTTCATCTTATCATGAGCAGTAAGATCTTTAGTTATAAAGTATGAATCTGTATTCATATTAATTTGAGATCCAAGATGTTTTTTAGACTAAAAGAAAGAGTTATAAAGTAAATATGGCTGCAGGACCATTGGACCAGAGGACCACATACTCTAACAATATATGATGAAAAGTACTCATTGTTCTCTTATTCATTTTCTAATTCTTCTCTTTTAAGGTATACTATGAAAATCTTATTTCAAAATTGTGTTTTTTCCCTTCAAAGAAAATTTGGGCTATAAGAGCTCAGTGCAAAGCTTCCTGTAAGCATGGGAAAAAAACCAAGGCACAGTTCCACGGAAGGTAGTTCAATCCTTCATTTTCGTCTGATTAGTACTTGCCCTCCAAGTATTAGATTTCTTGCAATTTTACCTTTACAGTGCTCTTATAGTTTACCATTTTGTTTTGAGATGCTTTTAATTCTTATTACATAGGGAAGCAGTAGTTCATGTGTGTGAATTTTTGTTTCGTTGTGTTTGGGGTTCAGAAGTGAATGCATTACGCAGGGATGGCTGGCTGTCAGCTTATCCCACGTATCCTTTATGTTTTCGCTTTATTCATGTGCTGAATTATGGTTCCTCTCTAAATTGAAGAACTAAAAATGGCAAGCAATCTAAAAAGCAATTGGTTTCTCATCGTTTCTTTGTTTTGTAATTTTCATTTATTCATCTTCTTTTGACAGTTTATTCAATTGTATTTTTGGTTTTCCCTGCTTGTTTATTTTATGCTTGCGTGTTCTTTTATATGCCTGATGTCTTTCTGTACAAGTGATGCATGAAGATTTTTTGTTGTTCTTAGCTAATAGATATAATTTCACGGATTATGTTTTTAAAGTCAGACAAAATACTTCTTGAGGATAACTGGGGTTGCCGGGACCTGTTTTCACTACAAATAGGATGTATCTTTTATATAAAAGAAGAAAATGGTGAGTTGCCAAAATTTCATTCTTCATCTTGATTTCTTTCATGATGCTTTTTCTTTCATTTTGATTCTTCCATTAGCTTTGCTAATTGCTACCACTGAATTTGAAATTGAACATCAATTACATGCTAAATGAACTTTAGAGATCAAGGAGGGAGTGGAATGAGAGGAGAAGTCGTCACTTTCTCTCAGGTCTCTCTAGACAAGGTTTCCAAATAGTTTTCCCTTATTTTTTGTAATTGTCTTTTTTTTTTTTTTTTTTTTAGTTTAATGAGATGGAATTAAATAGTTAAGTTACCATACTAATGAATGTACTTTATTGAATTTTTAGTAATAAGAATGTGACAAAATGAACACCTTTTTGTGTTTTTAATTTTTCTCACCTTTTCGAATTCAGTCCCACGCTGCCATGTCCAGCTCACTCGGTTACCATAACCGACACAAAAATTGCAAGTGCCATATACCCAGTCACATACACTTAGGATATGGTGTTAGATTTTCACTCATACGTCTCGAGTTCGAAATTCCTCATTTTTCTAAATTATTGCAATAATTTCAAATTCTCTCTTATCCTCTTAATAATAAGAACAATTTATTAAAAAAAAAATGGATATTATAATTTACAGAAAGTATATGTTTATTTTAAGGGTAACGATCTCCCTAAATAAAGTCACTTGGTTAGAAATTAACTAATGTCATTGTCAATGAGTTCAGCTAGTAATGTATGTATGGTAGTTTAAAAAAAGATATTAGTTGATGGCTAAGTCACGATAGTTCACTTATCTGAAGACTGAAAAAGACTCAGAGCCATAATATTTATATGATAATTGGTGATTTATAAACACTTAATTATGGGATTGCACTCTGAAAATTTATTTATCACAAAAAGTCTTATCACAAAGAAAGTTTACACGAGATATATGGACGATTAATGAAATGCTCGTTTCACTTAATGACACCCTAAAAGAAAAAGAAAATATGAGCAGTGCTGAAACATAATAGTATCATTGGAGAAAGAAAAAAACACTGCTTTTCAGTTTTGCTTTTACCATCTAAATTAAATTGTGTTTTTCTAGTTTGATTAATTAATTAGAAATATAAGTTGCAAAAGAAACTCACGTGGATATTAGCCTAGACGCTCCAATATGAAACGCACGTTTCACTTAACGCCTAAAAACAAGTGAAACGCGAATAATAAAACCATGGGTGAGTTATGGTTGATTGTTCTTATAAAAAAAATAAAAAAAATCACAAGTTGCGAGACTAATATATCTATCAAACCGTGATGCCACATGTTCCCAACATAGCTCAAACTAATTCTTTTGAGTGACAAGTCAAGAAATATGATAAATTCTTTCTGCATGTTGTATGTAAACAATTGACAGAATATTAACAAGTGAGGCTTTGAAACTTTTTGACTTTAAACATTATAAATCTCAATTCCTTAAATGACATACCAAGCACTTGCTGTGTCATGTCATTTTTTCAACCCACATCTGTAATCCATTGAAGCCATAACAGATATTGAATCGCTATCATCAAGAAATAGAGCAATTCACCATCACGCACATACATAACCATAACAATGCTGTCATTGGAGTCTAAGATTGGGTCTGCTGAAATCGTAGCCCTGACCACAAAGCAGTCACGATGTTAAGCCCAACCACCAGTTTTAGGCTTCAGTGGAGGACCTTCTCTTTTACCTTGAACCCCAATTAATAAATTTATTAGGGTTCCTGCAGAATTTTCATCCGTTGTTATTAACCATCCTCTTGAAGATCCAAAAATTGCTTTTTTGAACTTAATTGCATGAATTGTATTCCGTGTATCCTTTTCATTGTCCGAAACTAAGAGCAATGGAGTTGTAAACTTAGCACGTTTACATTTTCTGTCATTTTCATACAACGCCATGACATGCAAACGGTCATGAATAGTCAAAAATCTGATGTCGCCCAATCTGATAAGACCCCCGGGGGGGTGGGGGTGCGGGGGTAAGGTAACTTCAGAGAGAATACAGAACCCTTATTCCTTAATTAGGTCCAAGTAATAATTACCCCAGCACTTCTGGTGAAGCAGGCATGGCTAGGAAAGTTGTGGAATTCAGAGGCTGTAATCCAAATTTCACTGTGTACAGCACCTAGTAAGTTATTTGCAAAATGCCGGAAAGCTTGTTGAAGCTCATGAAGCAACAATATATATGTAGCTCCAGGGTATTTCAGTTACACCCACACCTTGTATCAGTTGTCTCTGAAGGTGAAGGAGAAGACCTCATATTTTTATCTTATTTATCTAGTGCGAAATGATCCTATATATAAACAGCTGTTTTTAAGTGTTTTGCTTTGTTGTGTGTTGCACTTATGCTGTGATTATACTGGTTACGAGAAGTGGCAACGCTCGCATTAGAACATAGACAGAGTACTGCAGGTTTCACTAAGACTTAGTATTCGAACACACTCCCTGTCCCTTTGCACTCACTCGCCACCTCTCTTTTGGGCTTCCTGGTCTCTCTTTTCATGTCATTTTTGTAATCTTTCTCGGACACACGCGTACCTGCATATATATTTCATTAATAGTTACATGAAGCAATGGGCGGACAGTTTCATACATCAAATCGTTGTTTTCCCTTCCATTTCCCACGCGTATTCTATATTTTATATACTCTGCATTTAACTGAAACCATATTCTATTTTCTGCAGTAGTCACTCATATTTTATACAATTTAACTAAGATGATCACCACACTCTTTTGGGCCTATTTTATTACATATAATTTTGTACGTTTCCTATTCCAGCATACGGGTAAGTATTTTATTTCCAAAAGCAAGAATCTATGGCATTGGACATGGCTGGCCACCTGCTGTTTGTAGTTATCGCATGTTACGCATCACACCGCAACAACAATGACAAACGAATACAACCCTAAAGAGTTGTTGAATTTTCGCACTATACTGCTCTCAATAACAAGATTATACACTTTTCACCTGCCCTCTTTAACAAAACCAAATATCCAAATGTATTACCTTAATTAATCAAACGCAAAACCTTTTGGCACTGGTCGTATGAAACAGGTCTCGCATATTTGCTACAACTATAAAAATAGCGTACTCATTACTGTATGAGACTCGTTTCATGCAAGCGGTCAAAAATCGACAAACAAAATAGGCATGGCGCATGACTTCATTTCCAGCTCAACAATGATGTAAATTATATAATTCAATGCTTAATTCCACTGAAAGATTTTTCAATGTGACCGTCACACGATGTGATACATTATGTGTTCTTATATAAATGATGGGTTATGTGTGTTAAAAAGTTAATAACTTAAAATTTTAAAAATTTAAAAATACGTGATGTACTCATGACTGTATGAGACTTGTTTCATTCAACCGGTACAAAAATCGTCAAACAAAATAGGCATGGCGCATGACTTCATTTCCAGCTCAACAATGATATAAATTATATAATTCAATGCTTAATTCCGCCAAACCCATCTCAATAATTAATATAGCAAATAAAATACGTGCAAAACTCAGTTTTGTGCAATAATCAAATCACATTCATGCACCAAAAAGAATAATTAAGTCAAATTCATGTAATTCCTTTCCAAGTGAGTGCATGGGGCGTGTACTCATGGCTTGGTAGCCGCCACAAAATATGACGCCAGCCATCATATTCTTTGCACCTTTTTCTTAATTTCAAACGCGACAAATTTGAAAATTGTATCAACTCCTTCATTGTCAGACGTGGACATAACCACATTGTTAGACCACATTTTCTTTTTTGGTCACTTGAGTTCAAATCAGAAACTACTCTCACCGTACAAATATTAAATTGAAGTAGAATATCGCTCCAAAATATTGTCCCTCCACCAAAGCCATTTGCTTCAATGCTACATTGTTTGCTTGATAATATCCAATTACATGCGTTTGCCCTTTTTATTTACAACCCCTAAATTAAACTAGCCTATTGCCACACACGGTCTGTGAAAATTGGTTTTTTTTTTTTTTTTTTAATTTAAAAAAAAAACAGAAAAAAAAATTAATATATTTTTTCAAAAGATAAAGTTAGTTACGGGAATGGATTTTTTGTGAATTCTTATTTTATTTAAAACTTTAATGAGAAATGGCAATTTTGGGATTATAATGTTTCACCATTTTCACCTTCTCCCTATATAGATAGATAAACCATCGTACATAACTGCTAATTTACCAGAAGGAGAAAATATTACCATGAGAGATAAAATTTGGTAACTCTTTATTTACTTTTTGTCCTCCTTCTTTTCTTCTTTTTTCTCCTCCTTCTTTTCCTCTTTCTTCTCCTCCTTCTTTTCCTCTTTCTTTTCTTCTTTCTTCTCTTCCTTGGCTGGTCCGATAGATATTATGTCTACTTTCCCGACCTTCTTCAACTTCTTCACTACAGCCACTGGATCCATCATTCCTACAACTGTCAGCTTCTGGTCCTTTAGATCTGCCGCGATTGAATCAATCCCTGTTCACGAAATAACCCAAAAACAAAATAAATAAGAGAGAAATAAAGAAGCTTTAATTAGGTTTAATAACAAAAGCGCTTCGATAATGTTTGGCAGAAAAAAGTTAAAAGTAGTTTTAGTTATTTTTTTAAATTAAAAAAACCCTTGTTTTCAATGAAAGCGTTTGTGAATATAAGTGCTTTAAAGAAGAATATCCAAACAGAACCGTATAATTTTGAGAATTTCATTTTATATTATTGAACTATTGAAGATGTAAACAAAACTGAGTAAAGATAAATGAAAAGAAATACCAAAAATATCAGCGACAGCTTCAATGGCTTTCTGCTTTGTTTTGTCATCAGTCATGGTCAGGACCTTCAGGACCGCCTTCTGCTACAAAATTCACACAAAAATTACAGAAAACAAAAAGAAGGGTTATGATCTATGTTCTGAGGTGCTTGTGTATATGCATATGCTTGAAGGGTTTGTAAGCATGATAGGTGAAGCTAAATTGAATAAGACAAAGCAACTTAAAGTCAGAAAATCACCTGAGCCATATTGCTGAGAGAGGAGGAATGGAAGAACACAAACAAAGAGGGGAGAGAGAGAGAGAGAGAGAGACAGAGAGAGAGAGAGATTTTGTGATTTTGTGATTTTGTGGCTTTACCCTTTTTATAAAGGTTGAAAATGTGAGGTTCAAGTGGGCTTGGACATGGGTTGGGTTTGGGTCTGAATTTGGGTGGGTCATGCATGTCGGTGAGAAGTTACATCCAACGGATATGGTTTCGGTTTGGGTCTGAATTTATGTGGGTCATGCATGTAAGAGCATTTTCAAGAGAATTTTTGAACTTTCTGTTAAACTAGTTAGTAAATGGTATCAAAAAATTATTATGTTTAATTTT